GAAAGAAAGAAAGATAGATAGATCGGTAGGTAGGTAGGTAGATAATCAGAGAAAGAGAGAAAAAGAGAGAGAAAGAGAGGAGACATCAATCACCTTTCGATCCATCAGTGGCTTCGCTCTGCCATCCGTGATTCACAACAACCAAGCTCTCCTATAGGTTTCCTATTTTTGAAACTTCCGCCACCGCCTTGTGCGGTACTACTGGTATTGGGATTTGCAATGATTTGCATACCCCCCTCTTGACCTACATTTACCCCAGTTGCCAGTTGAAGCATGGATGGGTCGTCCCAGGGTAGCAGCCATGTCCTATGCGTCTTAGTGCGCTAGAGGGAGTTTCGAGGTCCTGGCATTGCACACCAGTTGGCATTGCACTTAAGGATGTTGACCAGTTTTTCCTTTTGTATTGCTTTTGTGCGGGTTTGTACAGTGTATAATACTGTGTATAATACTGTATAGGCTATTTCCTGCCATGTTCTCCATAGAACGATGCTGTGTCTCGTCGTCACCGGCAACAAATCCCCTTGGTGGGAGTGGGAGGTTTCTTGAACAGCGTTATTGGGATTTGCAATTATTTGCATACCCCACTCTTGACCTACATTTACTGGGAGACTGGAAACAAATCACCGAGGGGCTCATGAAGGCGAGAACCCATGGACTCGATGGACTGGATTGGCTTCGAGGGTTCTGTTCCACTATCCGTGGCTGAACCCAAGTTCCTGTGCCAAGGCGGGGCCAGGGACAGCCATGGCTTTACCACTCGTTTCAAGGTTTGGCATCGTTTTCCAAGAATCCTGGAAAAATGTCTCTCTCAACGTTTGACATGGTTTGAATGTTTTGCTACGGGGGTTGTTGAAAACGTGCTTTTCAATGGTTTCCAAAACCCAACACCACCCAAACAACATAGCCTAGTCCGATACATTGCTGAAAGAGCTGTGAAGGAGGGGCAGGGGCAGCGTCACTTGTGCTTTGAAATTGACATGAGATGGACTACCAATGACTACCAAAAACAGATGCACGAAGGGAGCTGCTGAGCCGAGCTGCACTGAAACACCGGCCTAGAAAGTACAGTCCAAATTCTAGCCAATGTCGCAGTCAAAACGATCAATCTATCCGTTCTGAACATTGCGCTACACCCTTTGGCTAGGGGTTGGGTTAGGGTTGGGGTCGCAACAGAAGCGGCACAATGCGGTAGTACATAGGTATGTCGTAGTATAGGGTAGTGGGCAGGAAGCATGGAGGGTTTTACGTAGGGCAAAAATGGGAGACTATACTAAATGTACTATGGGGTAGTAAATGGGTGCCGTTTTTTTTTTTGTTTTCTTTTTGTTTTTCAGTCTGGGGTACTTTTCCTTGCTATTTGCTACATTTTGGAGCAAAAACCTGTAATTTGCTGAATTTAATCGATTTTTCCATGGTTTTAGCCGGTTTTTCCATGGTGTTCATTGATTTACCCAAAGTTTCATCGATTTTTCCTTAGTTTTCATTGAGTTTTTCATGGTTTTAATTGATTTTCCATGGTTTCGATCGATTTTTCCATGCATAACATGCACCTGGTGAACGTGTAGAATATAGGTTGAAGCACAACCGTGTTGGGTCTAAATAGTGGCATTGGATGCAATCATAGTGTTGGTTTATTTAGGGTTATTTAGGGTTGGCTTAGATTTATTTAGGGTTGGTTTAGGGTCTATTTAGGCTTGGTTTATGGTTGGTTCAGGGTCATTTAGTTTATGTTTAGGTTTTGTTTAGGGTTTATTTGGTGTTTGTTTAGGGTTTATTTGGGGTTGGTTTTAGTGTTTATTTAGGCTTGGTTTAGGGTTGGTTTAGGTTTTATTTAGGGTTGGGTTAGGGTTTATCTACAGTTGGTTTAAGGTTTAGTTAGGGTTATTTAGGGTTGGCTTAAATTTATTTTGGGTTGGTTTAGGGTTTATTTAGGGTTGGTTTAGCGTCATTTAGGTTATGTTTAGGTTTGGTTTAGGGTTTATTTGGGGTTGGTTTAGGGTTTATTTAGGATTGGTTTAGGATTTATTTAGGCTTGGTTTGGGGTTGGTTTAGGGTTTATTTAGGGTTGGTTTAGGGTTATTTAGTTTAGGGTTGGTTTAGGATTTATTTAGGGTTAGTTTAGGGTTTATTTAGGGTTGGTTTAGGGTTATTTAGTTTAGGGTTGATTAAGGGTTTATTTAGGGAGGTTTATGTTGGGTTGGTTTATGGTTGGTTTAGGTAATTTAGGACTGTTTATGGCTATTTATGGTGATTTAGGGTTGGTTTATGGTCGATTTAAAGTATGTTTAGGGTTGGATTAAGGTATATGCAGCGATAAGGTGTGCATACATAGATAGATAGATAGATAGATAGATAGACAGACAGACAGGATAGGATAGGATAGGATAGGATAGGATAGGATAGGATACGATAGGATAAGATAAGATTAGATCAGATCAGATCAGATTAGATTAGATCAGATTAGATTAGATTAGATTAAGATTAGATAAGATAAAATTAGATAAGATAAGATAAGATTAGATAGATAGATAGATAGATACATTAATTGATTGATTGATTGATAGATAGATACATTGATTGATTGGTTGATAGATAGGTTGATAGATTAGATAGATTAGATAGATTAGAAAGATTAGATCGATTAGATCGATTATATAGATTAGATAGATTAGATAGATTAGATAGACTAGATAGATTAGATAGATTAGATAGATTAGATAGATTAGAAAGATTAGATCGATTAGATCGATTAGATCGATTAGATCGATTAGATAGATAAGACAGTTAAGACAGATAAGATAGATTAGATAGATTAGATTGATTAGATAGATTAGATAGATTAGATAGATTAGATAGATAAGATAGATAAGATAGATAAGATAGATAAGTTTAGGTTAGGATAGATGAAATCAGATGAGATTAGATTAGATTTGGCTAAATAGATAAAATAGATAGATTAAATAGATAGATTAAACAGACAGATTAAATAGACAGATTAAATAGACAGATTAAATAGACAGATTAAACGGACAGATTAAATAGACAGATTGAATAGATAGATTAAATAGATAGATTAATAGATACGTTAGATAGATTAGATAGATTAGATAGATTAGATTAGATAGATTAGATATATTAGATAGATTAGATCGATTAGATCGATTATATAGATTAGATAGATTAGATCGATTAGATAGATTAGATAGATTAGAAAGATAAGATAGATAAGATAATAAAACAGATAAGATAATAAAACAAGATAAAATGAGATAAGATCAGATAAGATAAGATCAGATTAGTTTAGTTTAGATTAGGTTAGATTAGATAGATAGATAGGTAAAGCATGGTGAAGCCACAAAAGCCGCACACCCACAAAAGCCACAAAAGCCACAAAGCCAGGCAGGAAAACAAAAAAAAAAACGAAAAACATAGCCCTCCGTAGTAAATACGAGGATCTAGTGGAGCATGTAAGGGCACACAATCGGTAGATCATACATTCATGTTCGGCTGTAATATGCGAGGGCATCTATTGCAGTATGCTATGAATATCTAGGCATGCTCTATGAAGTAGCTAGGTGGGTATTATACGGGTAGTATTAGGTAGTAGACGAGCCACATACAGGTACACAATAACATAACGCAGGATGCACGTAAGAAAACGAGGAGTGTAGAAGTGCAATTGGTTGTAGGAATGCAGGTTCACCACACGGAGTGGACTGATAGTATACATGTAGCAGGAAGCATCAAAGTCATAGCGGTAGGTGGACCAGGTAGACATAAGAATATCCACACTGCGGTACAGGGCGACAGTTGGTCCCCATGGGTCCTCGAGTCATTGTTGTTCATCACTTCCTTGGCCGGCTCTATTTGCGCGTGGCTTGCAGTATCCCCTGCTTTCCTGGCAGTTTTTGTATTACAGGAGCCAAGGCAGAAAGTCAAGGAAGAAAGCTCACAAACGACGAGAACCGGATAGAATCAAACGATTTCAGAGTCGCAAAGTAACGATCGCGGAGGGACTCTGCAGGGAACTGCAAGGCCAATTCATCTTGGGGTATATAGTTTAGTCTGTTTAGTCATGGATTGCTGACCTGTCGGGCACATACTCCAGGAAGGTCTCTTTGACCATCAGCTGAAACTTCTTTACTTCTTCGTCCTGGCACCGTGCCTTTGGGCATTTCGAATTGCAAAGGGTGATGGCTGTGATTGGTGGGACATTCCCATCTCAAAAGCTGCATTGTCTGTGTTAAATATCTTAAATACTGTTGAACGGGCTACAGAGTCAGTGAAAAATTGCTCAATCCGTTTGACCCCCATGCCTCTGCAAATCGCATCTGTTCCCTTGCATGTTTCTCTTGCAAGACCATCCTGCATATCACAATGCCGCGGGAGACACGTTGACAGAGCAAACATGAGCAAACGATTATATTGGAATCATGTAGTGACGGTAATGGTAAATGGCGCCGATAATAGTGCTAATACTGATAGCCATGGCGCTAATCACGGCAATAGCAGCAACGTAGTAGTGCCAACGATTCTAAGACAAAGAAAATGAACATGTCTGTATTATTGATGCAGTTGACTTTCAGTGATTCGGCAGTTCAAAATGTAGCTGAGCGAAAGAAGGTCAGAGTCATGGAAGGATGTGAGGGCAACCGGTGCGGCCGAAGTGCTGCACACTGTGACACTGCACACGAACAAAATGAATTGAACTTCGAAGTGCCACTAAACAAACTGATGTAAAGTGGAATGTAACCGATACTCTAAGAAAATGACAACTGATAGCAACAGGCCTGTCTTAAACTCCACCTTCACTATAGGATAACCACCCAAAACTCAAACGACGGAGCCAGCAAACAAGTGACCATTGTGCTAGCTGAAGGAACCAATTGACTAGGTGCCATTATCATCTCTGATCATCCATTTATGTACTAATCGTATCTAATTGTCGCCTGTGAATCAGACCCACAATTGACGCCACCAAATCAGCACGACTTCAGCGCCTGTCTTGACAAGGCCCCGAAAACAGGCGACAAGTTCCCGTGTCCCATCCAGGAGCCAAAGGCTGCAAAAAAGGCATGGTTTTCACTGTGTCAAAACATGACAAAACTACTCCAAGATCTCGCAAATGCAATCTATACTTCCGCTATGCGTTCAAGATATCTCAGGATAATCTTGAGAAATCGAACATGTATAATATCTGTGTATATGCATGCGTATGCGCATGATATATTATTTTTGTTAATGCATGTCAATGTATTATCCGCATATGGATATATAGTAGATATAATTATTTTATATTATACAATATGTAGATAGTATTCTCATTTATACGCGCGTGTAGCGTAGAAACCCTCCGGGTGGACGTGTCCTGACAATGGCACACACAGGACGCCAAGCCCCTTTGTGACGCTCTGCCACGCGATGACACACAGCACCGATGTTGCCGCGACCGGTGTGAAATAGCAAACACCGGCAAAAGAGCAAGACTATTCAGGATGCACAGGTGCTATATGATGTTGTATGATGCGATATGGGGCTATATGGTGCTATATAAAGCAGCCTTTTGGCTAGGCCCGTACTGAGATGAGCATTTAATTTCAAGTCACGATGGGGCAAAACTAGCGTTATAGGATTGTTGACAAGAAGAAAACGCATTGGAAGTGGAATCCAGTGGAACAGCAGGAAGTGACTTGATACGAAGCAAACAGGCCATGTGTCACTGCAATTCACTACAAGGAACGACACAGGTGGGACAGCCACCTGCATTTTCCTGACCATGTTTGCAACAAGTCCAAACATACGACAACAGGTAATGACGCCCATATTATGTCCAGTTTCGAAATATATATACGAATGTGTATTATATATATATATATGTGTGTGTGTGGAAAACAACCGCTGCACGATGAAACATGGATATACATTGAATATGACACTATGATCTGATACATAGTGATCATATGTGATCATCATGATATGACATGTGATGGATTGTGATGGTCTGATATGCTGTTGCATATGGATGTATCTATGGCAGTATGTGGCACGACCGGCCGATTTGGATATTTTGGATCCACTTCCGCCACTTGTTCTCTCCAAATCCGACAATCGGCACCAAATCCCCTGCAGCCCAGCCTTGCTGTGTAAATCTATGCTCAATACAGGTCTCAACGGGTGACCCGATTTCAACGGAGGAAATTTCACGAAGGAAACACTTCACTTCTGTCTTCTTGGGTGCTTTAAAGGATGCGCAGTGAGTTTCAGCGAGTTATCATCCCAAAAAGGGCAAAACTTGGCAAAGAAACGACGTGTCTCACCGCTGTCGATGTGAAGCACCCGCTGAGATCTGATTGCAAAGTGCGTCAAAGTGCATTGTTCCGGGAGGGTTCGCGCTGCCCCTGTAGGTGTGAGACTTGTGTGACACTTGGCTTGAGACTTGTGCCGTGGTGTGACGGGCTTCGTGTGTCACGTCGTCACTGTCGTCACTGTCGTCACGCCCCAGGTATCAGCGCGAGGCTTTACAAACTGCTGAAGGTGCCGGCATATCCGAACATCAGCGATCTTGCAGCAGTGGACCCCAGAAGATGCACCGAATTTTGTCCTGGAAGTAACGGAAACCTGATGGAAACCTGACGGAAACCTGACGGAAATATGGAAACATATGGAAACATATGGAAACATATGGAAACATATGGAAAGAATTCAACGCATGTCAAGCCTTTTTCTCATCTCTGTGACGTAGCCAATCGACATAGAGCCACCTCGGCTTTCTGTCTTGCGGTTACTTCGGGGAGCTGCCGCCGTGGCGGTCTGAGGTGTTTTTGTGCCACGTGACGTTGGCAGGTCTTTTTCAAAAATTCGCTGGAGCAGCTGGCTGGAGATGCACAGCAAAGTGGACATCTTTCCGAATCTTTCAAATAATTACCCTGACTGCCCAGCGTGAGGATCCAATGGGACATTATGGATCATTGGGCATTATGGGAGATTAATTATTGGGAGATTCATTTACCCAAACACCATCCAACACCCATACGTGATGAAATCTGAAGTAATTACATGCAATTCATCATGCAATTACCCTCTGGTAAACTAACATAACTATGGAAATTCACCATTTTTGATGGGTAAATCAACATAAATCAACTATTTCTATGGTTTACCAGAGGGTATCCTGATATGGTCATTTTTTGTTGGTATCCCAGAAGGTGCCCTGATGTGCCACACAGGGCCAGCCACGTCCGAGCGTTTTTTGGACGCTAGGGCAAGCCGCTGTCCTCCTCACCGTCAGGTGCCAGCTCGCGGGTGCCAGCTCACGGGACAGTCCATCGTTGTTACCGCTTTTCTTAGCCGAAAATGACTAGACATGGCTAAGCAGCCTGATGACCCATCAGCTCCACATGTTCAATAATGTTCATATCATGTTCTCTGGGTCAAATGGGGTTAGATACGGAGTGGGGTGCCATATCCGATCACGTATGGGTCACATAAGTTCGCTGTGGCGCTCAGGGGTAGAAGAGATTTCACTTGCTCCGTCAACTGTGGAATCATCATGGATCCATATGGAGCCATATAGAGCCACATGAGGAGCCGTATGGAGTCACCAGCACAGCGGATATTGGAACTTAGCTCCCGTCGCCCTCAGGTCGAGCGCCCGCCTTTGGCCAAGGTCTTGTGCAACTTCTTCCTCCGTTGCAGTTCACCTGCGAAACATTGCAAGCGAAATCCACAAAATCCATAGACGGGGAACGGTCCGAGTCATGCAACAAAAAGCAGCATCAAAGTATCATCAAAGGATACCTAATCGCTCGACCCTGAAAATGCGCAATGTGGGGCAAAGCCCGGTGATGACCAAATGACCAGTGTTGATCCTTAGAACATGTTACAACTTCAACTGCCTAGCTCGTGGAGCTTCAAGATTTTGACGCCTTCTGGGCAGAGATGGCAATGGAGGCACTTGGCCCCATTATGGCAACTGCCAGGCTTCCAAAACCTGCCAGGTGACGCTGATACTATGTGATACCATGCCGTACCATGCCACGCCCATCTGCCCATCTGCGCCGGCTAGGGCTCCCGGGCCATGCGCATGGTTTGCACCGATGTGGATGCCATAAGGAGCCCACAGACGGCATCTGAGAGGCTCCTGGAATCAGGCGGATCAATGCCGTGTCAGTTTGACATAAACGCCGCAAATGGGTTTGAGCTCACTATGCTCACTTTGCGCGAGGCACTATGACGGTTCCAGCACAAGCTGTGGGGGGCATGGGCAGGACATTCACAGCTATCCAGTGCTTTTCCATGCTCTTCCTCTTTCTAGACTGATGTTTGGCAAGATGATTGAGGCGCCATCACCTTTTCAAGTCCCCGACATCAACCCCCAAAAGCACAATAACCATGGTGCCAACTCAAACTGAACCGAACAACATCGAACAACATCGAACAACCTTACGATATCGTACAATAGCTTTACAGCCCGCAGCCGGTCCTTCGTGGAGTGCCGGTGCGCTCTTGCAGCGAATTATTCGCAGATCATCAGCCTGGTGGGCGGAACTGCAAGGATCAAAGAAATATCATTTCTGAATCAGGTTCAAACTAAGCAAAAAAAAACAAAGCTATAAATTGGCCACAGGCGTGAAATAATTGAAAACTGGGCAAAAGAAACATGATTTTTGCATCTTGAAACCGTTGAAACATGGCAAATCTGGCAAGACATGGGACCATATGGGACCCACATGGCCAAGATATGCCAAGATATGCCAAGATGCTTGGACAAATTCCAGGAAGGTGCTCTTGACGATTAGCTTGAAGCGCTGAGAGGGCTCTTCGTCTTCTGACCTCGCCAGAAGCTGCCAGAGGCCCACAATTTGAAGCTTGGGTGAGGCAATGAGTTGCTGCAACTTGAGCTGTTTTTCTGCCTTAGCTTTCCTAGTTTCCTAGAGGTTGTCCCAAAATTGAAACCTTTGGACAACCAGGGAATGAGGCTGAACCAGCAAACGGATTCTACGCGTCTGGCAGCAACAAAATGCCGGTGGGTTTCCTATGCATGATGTCTGCATCAATGCCTCTGTCATTCGCATGGCTCATATGGCTACCTTTTGATCCATTTGTCCTCTCTGCTTTGCAGCTTCCCAAGTTGACCACGCCCTGCTAATGCTATACTGTAATATTCTGGGCACGTGACAAGGTCGACAAAGTGGAAGTGGTGCTGACGTCCGACTGGGCACGTGGCCGGCACTGCCACATGTGCGGAAACCGCAGCAAATGCAGTGATGGCAAAATCATGAAAGGAAGGTCGTTGGACATCATGGGAGCGCACGTCCATGACATCATGACATGTCCATCTCCAGTCTCGGTCCAAGGGGCTGCAGCATCAAGACCTTAGGCGCCCCGGGATCCATGATCCGGACACCGAAGCTGACAATGGCTATGGTGGCTATGGTCCTGGTTATGATTGCGAGCTTGGTGTTGCTAAGCCATTTCCATGGTTTCATCCATGAAAATAGCACGAGTCAACTGAGATTCATCCTCCAGGATGAAAAGTAGGAACCAATATGAACATGTTGAGACCATCAGTTGGTGCATCGTTGTGTCATATTGTGTCAGAAACCTACCATGATTGTCACTTTCAGCTGCGACAAATCAAAAGCGTTGGGACAAATTTTACAAATTTCTAGTGTCCCAGCCTCATCCAATTGATCAGCTGCTTGAACATTCAAAAATCCAACCAAAAACTCAGGAGGCTTTGATGATCACATATGATTCTGTCACAGATTATGTTACAATGCTGTCACAGTACGTTTCAGAACTCACCAGCAGCTAACTATATAACCATAATAAACGAACCAAAGTTAGCTGCTGGTTGATCCAAGTTGCAAGAGTGTTTCCAGGCCATGAACCCTGACAGTCCTGGGGTTTTTTCTGCCACTGAAATGTGCCGAAGCTGCGACAGAAACGGCACGTTTCCGAAACTGCACGACCGACGTCGGTCCTCGATTCATCTTCACTGGCGGCCAATGAAATCCCAAGCTGCAGGTGAAAACGGCCAAAATGGCTGCAGTCACAAGCCATGTCAATCATTGTCAATCACGTTCGGTGATAGATGTGATAGCTTGCCAAACAGTATTCTGGGAATGGTGGGGTTGGCAGAATCCAAGAATGCCAACAATTTCGTGAAGGCAAAAACACCTCCGCTTCATCACGTTCCCTGCTTGTTTTGACGCGTGGAAACTGGATAAACGGGTAAAAACCACTTGCTGGGTTTGAAAGTGGCGGGCTCCTCTATGCCGATCTCCCGATTGTTACCCACTCGCCTCCACTGTGGGATTTTCAAGCCAGCAAACAGTATGGCACTTCGGGCTCTGGAAACCCACATCAACAGAATCTGAGAGGCAATGTAGCTCATTGGCCAAATATGTTATCATCTGTTGTCATGTGTTTTCATCTGCTGTCATCTGTTGTCATCTGTTACCATCTATTGTCACCAGCTGTCATCTGCTGTCATATGTTTCATCATGTTTCATGATGATTAATCATGTTCCAGGTAATCACTCGTCAGGCAACATCAAGCAGTACCTGGACAAATCAGCTTACAACATGTTAGATCATATTTCATCATGTTTCAGGCATTACATACATCATGATTCAATACACACATACACACACACACACACCAGTAGTACCGCACAAGGCGGTGGCGGAAGTTTCAAAAATAGGAGACCTATAGGAAGGGTTGGTTGTTGTGACTCACGGATGGCAGAGCGAATCCACTGATGGACCGAAAGGTGGTTGGAGCTGTGTTTTCTGGAGTGGTTGCAAGGGTTGCAGTGGTCACCTCACCACAACTGCTGGGCGTAGTGTGGTGTATTGCAGCTGTAGTTGTAGGTGCAGTTGTAGTTTTAGCGTCGTGGAGTTACTTGTAGTTGTAATGTCGTGTAATTAGTGTAGTGTAGTTGCAGTTGCAGTTGTAGTTGTGGTGTGGTGTAATTAGCGTAGTGCATTGTAGTGTACTGTGGTGTTATGTGCTGCGTGGTATAGTGTAGCGTAGTCTAGTGCATTCTGTTGTAAAATAGTGTAGTTGTATTTGTAGTGTAGCGTCGCGTAGTGCAATGAAGTGGTAGTTCCAGTTGTATTGTAATGTAATGTAATTAGTGTAGCGTAGTGTTGTGTAACGTAGTGTAGTTGTAGTCGCATTTGCATTTGTAGCTGTAATGTGCTGCTGTTTAATTAGTGTATGTAGTGTAACGCAGTGTAGATGTAATTGTAGTTGTAGCTGCGGTGGTAGTGGTGGTAGTGGTAGTGGTAGTGGTAGTGGTAGTAGTAGTAGTAGTAGTAGCAGTAGCAGTAGCAGTAGCAGTAGCAGTAGTAGTAGTAGTAGTAGTATGTTGTAGTAGTAGTAGTAGTAGTAGTAGTATGTAGTAGTAGTAGTAGTAGTAGTAGTAGGAGTAGTAGTAGTAGTAGTAGCAGCAGCAGCAGTACCACTTGCTGTTGTAGTTGCTGTTGTAGTTGCTGTTGCTGTTGCAGTTGCTGTTGTAGTTGCTGTTGTAGTTGCTGTTGTAGTTGCTGTTGTAGTTGCTGTTGTAGTTGCTGTTGTAGTTGTAGTAGTTGTAGTAGCTGTAGTAGCTGTAGTAGTTGTAGTAGTTGTAGTAGTGGTAGTAGTAGTAGCAGCAGTACTAGTAGTAGTAGCAGTTGCTGTTGTAGTTGCTGTTGTAGTTGCTGCTGTAGTGTAATTAGTGCGGTGTAGCGTAGTGTATTGTAGCGTAATTAGATGTAATTAGTGTAGCGTAGTGTAGTGTAATCAGTGTTGTGTAATGTAGCGTAATATATTTGCACTTGTAGTTGTAGTAGTGTAGTGGTACTTGTAGTTGTAGTTGCAGTTGTAGTTGTCTATCTATCTATCTATCTATCTGTCTATCTGCAAGCTTCAAGACGAAGCTATTCTGCGAGACTTCCTCAGTTTTTGAACTTGACAACACCAAAAACGCAGCAATTCTGCGTGACTTCCTCATTTTTCAAAGTTGACAACATCAAAAGCGAACCAAATTCTGCGAGACTTCCTCATTTTTCGAAGTTGGCAACATCAAAAACGAAGCAATTCTGCGAGACTTCCTTCAAGAATGGAAAGTTGAGTGCAGAGCGGACGGCCTCGTACCAATGCGTTTTCCGATTTTTCCACTCCACCTGTCTAAAAAGTGATGCCAAAGTGCTGCACCTGTCACTCAAAACCATCTCAGCAAACCTGAAGATCTGATGCTCCAAAATGCAACCCCTCTCAGGAAATCAGCGCCCTCACCTCCTAACATCTCTGATGAACATGTCTCTTGTATTGCGTTTGCCAAGGAAAATGTATCTTTGCAGATCCTCTTCAAATGCCCCACGCCTGCCATCGCTTTTGGAAATGCTACAAAATACAAAACCTCACGTTTTGCTCGCTTTTGGCAGGGTGGAGAATCTCTGCGCCTGCCACACAAAACGACGCTTCAACGTCCAAAAGTGGCGCGAACATGTGGTGCCTTGTACATTTTGACTTCGACATGTGCTTCGCAACACAACGGCGTACACTTTTTGAACATCTCAACTTCCAAAAGTGTTATGGACGTGGTGTGTTTTGCACGTTTTGACTTCCAAATGTGCTTCGCGCCACAACGGCGTCCACTTTTTCGACATCTCAACTTGGAAGGTGTGCTTCGCGCCACAACAGCGTGCAACTTTTCATCTCTCATCTGACCACATGGCTCCGCACCCGTCGCTTTAGCGAGCCTACTTTTCGACCCTCCGGAGCCACAAATCATTGGAAAAACACAGCGTTTCGCGACTGTCCTACCTTTTCGCGCACCTGGATCTTCTTTCTTCGGAGACTTTCTCTTTTTGATCTTCTTTCTTCTTCTCTTCTTCTCTTCTCTTCTCTGACTCTTCTCATCTCTTCTTTTCATCTGTCCATATTGTCGGATGTTTGACTTCTATACTTCCTTCGATAAATCTATGTATATATAAATATATGTTAAAACAAATATCACTATATATATATTGTATATGTACATACAAATAATGATATATACATATATATATATACATACATACATACAAAAATACATATGTATATATATATATACATACATACAAAAATACATATGTATATATATATATACATAGGTGCATACAAAAACACACACATGTGTATATATATACATATGCACATACAAAAATACATCTATATTTTTACATATATATATATAAATATATGCACATATATAAATATGAATATACATATACATATATATATACATATGTATGCATATATATATATATTTATATCAATAAATAAATTTTCATGTTCATATCAATACATGTATATATATATACATATCAATACATGTATATATATATACATACCAATATATATATATTTACATATATAGAATAAATACATACATATCAATAAATAGATAAATTAAGAAACAAATAAACAAATAGATAAAGATATATTATCATCATTATAACATCTTCCAACCGTTGTAAAAATCTGCGGTTCCCAGAGTTGACGCCCCTCGGGAGCGGAGATTATCGGAGTCTGGCCACAGCAAAGGCGAAGCTTGTCTTTCGACTGCAGACTGCAGTCGGTTGATGCCCAGAGTTGTGGGGTAGCTATGGGTAGCTCAACATAGCTCGAAGTTAGCAGTGACATTCTTGTGAGTGATTCGTTTTGGTAGCGCCGAAAACTACCTATAATAAAAACGGGTCAACTTTGATGAACCATTGCAGCGAAAATGCACCACCCCACGCATCAATGCAGGAAACTCCCTGAAACATCACCAAACAATGACAAAATCATTGGTCGGAGCAACAAACAGACTTCAATGTACTATATATACTTCACATTTGAATCTTGGGGGCATCCTCAATTTTCTCAATTCAAATGTGTTCCTATCTTTTCCTGCAACAGTTTCATGGCAAGCCTCCGTCATCTCTGGACACTAAAAATTGCACAGCGCAATGGTGGCATGAGGCGCCCCATCCAGTCACCACATCCAGTCACCACAGGCTGATTGTTGCCAGGCTAATGACACCGGTATGACAACGGTTTCCATGTGTTGCCACGTTTAGGAGATTTGTGATGATCATTGTTGATCAAAATTGAAGATCCACCAGCTTTTTCTGTGGCAACTGGATTGCCCTGGGGTAGGTCACGAGTCACGATACTATAATGTCCTCCACAAGTCCCATTGGGTGCACCGCATGGTTCTGCAGAATCCTCAAGGACTCAGGTGGACGTCTTCTCGGCTTCTCGCCAATCGGTTATCTTTAAGCTTTGATTTGTGATACGTCACCGAACACGTTGCGTCCTCAAATTTACACAGCGAAGAGCTTCTGGCACATGGATCAACATGGATCGACCATCTAAGAACCAGTGTCACGACCTGTCACGACCTGTCGCAAGGTAGAAGTGCCATGAAATGCCTAATCTATCTTAATCTTCTCAGGCTGATACACGCTCTTACAGGTTTCAAGATGGTTCAGGGCAGCATCTGCTGACCGCAGAGCAGGACAGCAACACCGAACCACAGAGTGACGCATCTGGGGTGGGAGGTGCCGCTCCCGGCATGGCAGGTGTACCATGCGACCTCGCCCCCAGCGACCTGCTCTGAAGCGAAGCATGCAAAAACAACGTACACAATCGTACACGTGTGACACATACATACACAAACAAATCCAACAATCTCGGCTGTACGCCAATCTACCACAATCTACCTCAAGCTACCCTTCTACACTTCTATACTTCTAGGTATACACTTGCAGAAACTCCAGCACAGGTCGGGGGCAAGGAGAATTCAAGGAGTGCCTGAAGGTGCTGGCACTCACAAACGAAAGTGTCATGCTGATGGGTGTCCTGTACCATGAGGCCTTAACAAGCATCAACAATTTGAACAATCCATGAGCACATTTTCATATTATATATATATACATTAGTTGTGAGATGTAAAGCATAGATACTCAAAAGGTTCACTCTATCCAGGCTCACATCCGCATGGCTTTTTCTT